AGATTAAATTTGTTACAAGAGAGATTTATGTGAAAAGGTTATGTGAAATGTTCAAAATGTTGATGCACATTTCTTTTGCATCACTTTTAGATACGTCCTTTAAAAATATTTCCAATTACTCCTGCAGACAGTTTATTTGTGAAACACGTGTCCGATTTTGCTCTGCTTCGTTTATAATCCAACATCCAGAAGTTGGCAATCTTTGCGCAGGACGTAAATGTATCCAGAAACATTCTCAAAGTATCAATTTATATACAGTTACGGTTGTTCTAGGATAAAATTGATACGTCCAATCGCTATTCACTCGGAAGGTGAACGTTGGCTGAGAAGCCCAGGTGGGAAAGCCAACGTAATTATTTCGCCAGCCATCTTGCTTCTTTTCTCTCACCAGCGAATCATTACCGCGTCCGCTCAAGATGGCCTTCTGCTCTATGCAGGCATAGAATTGTACTCGTCGTTTTTATACTCAAGAATTATTCGGTTGATACTTTGTTATCTTCAGTTCCATCATTTTTATACAGCCATTACACACACACACACACACACACACACACACACATATATATATATATATATATATATATATATATATATATATATATATGTGTGTGTGTGTGTGTGTGTATTTAACTAAAAAAAAGAACAGTAAGATATATAATCCGGTGTTCTTATAGATATTTTTATTTTACAAAATAGTGCTCAATGTAAATTTATAGAGCATGAATATTATAATTAATTGATTTAAAATGTTTTTTTCCACTACAGTTTTAATGTTTCAAAAATGGAAGTTAAAGCCACACATTTAATTTTGCAATTAAATTAATTTAATTGCAAAATTAAATTCGTGGCTTTAGCTTCCATTTTTGAAACATAGTTAGAATTGTGTATCGAAAAAAAACATATTTTAAATCAATTAATATATATATATATATATATATATATATATATATATATATATTGAGGAATCGGAGAACAGCGTTCGAATTTCAGTCGAATCCATTTGCTTGAATTGGTGTGAATCCTCTTCTTCTCCCTGCAGCTATGTGTAAATAGCAGGACAGACCGGGTTCTATAGCCTTGGATGGCAACTGATCAAGGAGAAGGACAACTCTGATTTCAAAACCTGCGGAGTGTCGTTTAGAGACCTTGTGGCACGTATTGCACCAGGTCTCTGTATTCGGCCCTTCAAAAAGTGTGGTCCTGCACGAAACCTTCACCACTATAATCAAATCTCATGTGCTGTTGTCGAGCTGTCGGTTTCCTGGGAACTAATCTACTTGATCCTCATACGTCGAATTCGACGGGAGAGTCGAGTATATGTATGTATTTGTAGTATATATATATATATATATATATATATATATATATATATATATATATATAGAAAGGATTTTATTAATCCGATAGATTAATATCAATTTAAAAGTTATTATTAGAAGATACTCGTATTTGAGTAGACGCTTATTTCTTTATTAAGCAGTATATTTCTTTATATTTACCTACAATAATAAAAGGAATAAATTTGAATATATTTAAAGTTTATTTTAGTTTAAAATGCAATTGATGATTAACAGTGTTTACTGTATGAATTCTTGTTTAAAAAGATCGCTTTACACATCTACATATCGCCAGAATTTTTTGTTTCATCCGCGTTTTTCTTATAATTGTGGTAGCTGTAATTTTCTTCGCCCACAAATATTTGAATTTCGGAACTTAGGATAAAAGTTAACAAACCGAGCAGACCATTCCATCGTTCAGTCAAGTGGTAGGGAGCAACGAGATCAGGCGTATGGGCGCTCCACTTAGTTTCTGCACTATCAAAGAACAAAGCGTCGTAAGGGAGTTAAACATTCAGAAATCCGTTCTGAGATTTCGAGAATTACTATTAAAAGAAAATTAGATTTCTTCGGCAGGTATCGAACCTGCATCTTTCAGGACAGAAAAAGCCACTAGCTAAATGCAACCACCTATTATACTATAACAATTTATTTTTCGCACGCCCCACCTGTGGAACGTCCTTCCGAATTCTTGCTTCTTTGATAACTACAATCTTCAGGAATTTGAATGCAACATCAATCACTCTTCTTGAATCCTGTTCTTCGGGTCTAGGAGAATGACAAATCTGAATTCAAAACCTCAGTGGGTGTTGGCTAAACCGGCTCACATCAGACCCTGGTGATGATGGTAAGTGGAACCCCAGCAGCAACGTCAATCGCCATTTTCTGTCTTTTTTTTTGTGTCAATTTCCGCACCCCTACACACACCATTCTCAGTCTTCTCATTTCCTTTCATTTTTACTACCTGTAAACACTGCGTTATAATGGAATTATCGCTTTAATTAAGTCGAAACGATTAAAAAAAAAAGGTGATTTATCAATAGATTTGATTACTGAACACAAGTGAATTTTCCCAGATGGTTGGAATTGGTATGGAATGGCAATGTATCTTAATTTCCTTCTTTTATTACTTTTGAAAATGTTGAATTCAATTCTTCAGAAAGTTTTCAACCTCAATCCCGTCCATTATAAATCCGTAGATTCTCATACTCTATATTTTCATCTTTATTAAGTTTTCCATTGCTAAATATGCAGCTAAAGTGCTCGGCTCTCTGTACCGCTCTAGTAAGCACCTGACTCCACCTTCTATCCTATACTTTTACAAGAGCTAGATCAGGCCAAAAAATGGAGTCCTGTTGATATATTCGGGCAGAAGCTGCCAAGACCTCACTCTCTTGATATCCTTGATATTGTTCAAAAGCGTCTCCATGCACTTGTGAGTGAAGAATTATTCCCCCTCCCCTTCAACCCGTCACCCACAGGCGGGATGTGGCAAGCTCCTTGCTGCTCTACCGCTACTACCATGGGAAGTGTACGGACGGACTACATTCACAGGTCTCGGCGAGTCAAACATTCACAGCAAGAACATGCCAATCCACTTACAACTTAGCAAACCACCCAAATTTCATCCATATTCAATCGATGAGAAGTAAGTTACACTTTAGCAGCTTCTTTCCATGAACGACTGCCATATTGAATCAGCTCCTAACAGGATGTTTCTCTGATCACTACAATCTTATCCTATTCAAGGCTAGGATTAATCACTATCTCCCTCACCTATACACACAAATAACCTCCTAAAGTAACCCTCTACCTCTAGTGGCACCCCCTAGGCCTTGTAAAGGAAGACTCTCACTGTGAAAACAAACAATCTTAATCTGTTCATATCTTTCTTAGTAATACGACATATTCAAACCATGTGGATTCTCCAGTCACCATTCTATGTTCTTTATGACACTCTCACCTCCTGTTCAAGTAATAACGTGCGACAATTTGAACACGGAACAGTTTTTTTTTTCTTTTTAGCTTTTTGATAAAGTAAGTGGACACCGACTGCCTCAGGTAGAATTTGAATTTGTTTCCCCGATCACTACAATCTTATCCTATTCAAGGCTCGAGTTAATCGTAATCTCCCTCACGTATACGCACAAATGGCATAACGTAACCCTCTACCTCGAGTAACCCCCGCCCGTCTTTGTAAAGGGTGACCCTCAATGTAGAAAAATAGGAAATAGAGCATAGAATAGGCTGCACCAGAGGTAGTTTTGCCCAATACCGCACATTGGTACTAAACCAAAACATCAATTTGAAAGCTAGTGTCATGTTCTTAAATAGCCTCTTCAGATCAAAACTTTCATTGTGATTATAATAGCGCCAAACCTGCTAAGAAATATTTAAACTGTTAGTTGTATATAACCGCTTCTTAATATCAATGGTTAAAATGGTTTTGAGCGAGTGGAATTTTCTTTGAACATTGTGTACTGGTCCTTCAAAATAGCAAATAAAGAATTTCACTAAATAATAGAACGATATCAACTGAGGACTTTCAACAGCAGCAACAACTAAAATGAATTGCACATGTTACTCGAAGAGGAAATAACAACATGATCAATATGTTGATATTCCACACTACTTCAAACAAAAGGTTAGGAAGGAAACCCCATCAATACTGGAAAGAGTGACAACAGCTATTGTCCCTGAGAAAGATACTTTCCCAAATAATTGTTTTAAACTAAAGAATTTAAAAATGTCAAGCAACAGTAATACTGGCTGTTCGGTGAATGAATTCCAAATGTTTCCTTATAAAGAAAGGGTTATATAACCGTTATCATATTGTAACCTTGGGTTATACTAAGCCCAGCTTGGAAACTGTCCTTTCTATTAGGAAAATCTGTCTTGTCTTGCAGTCTATCTCTTGGGGCTTCAGAATTGACGCCTACAGCCAACAAATATCGAAATATGGAGACATACATTTCAGGAGAACAAACAGACGGACATACAACGACTGTTTTAGATTGCTATCATACTTGTGCTTGATAGAACGAACAGCGACAAGGTTTTTGACCCATGAGAAGATTGCACTGATCGCCAGACGAATTTTGACAATGACCAATCACATCTCAGATGCCTTCGGCGATCTATAGAACTACAGAGAAAGTCTCGATTACCATTTATCGGACCGAGAGCAGACGCAAAATTATGTCTGCAATGTCGCCGGTCGTTTAAGCGATTATCACTGACAACCTCGGATAGGTAGCTCGGATTTAGAAGAAAGAAAGAAAGAAAGAAAGAAAGAAAAGCCGCTAGGTAGAGAAAGAGATATAGAAAGAAATAAAACATTATACAAAGATTTCAGAAAGAAAGAAAAGGCGTTATGTAATAAAGAAAGACAAAGAGAAAGAAAGAAAAAAGAAAGAAAAAGGTGTTATGTAAAGACAGACAGAAAGAAAGAAAGAAAGAAGACGTTATGCAAAAAAAAGAAAAAAGAAAGCATTAACAAATATTTCAGAAAGAAAGAAAGAAAGAAAGAAAGAAAAGGCGTTATGCAAAAAAGAAAGAGAAAGAAAGAAAAAAGAAAGAAAAAGGCGTTATGTAAAGACAGACAGAAAGAAAGAAAGAAGACGTTATGCAAAAAAAAGAAAAAAGAAAACATTAACAAATATTTCAGAAAGAAAGAAAGAAAGAAAGAATGAAAGAAAGAAAGAAAGAAAGAAAAGGCGTTATGCAAAAAAGAAAGAGAAAGAAAGAAAAAAGAAAGAAAAAGGCGTTATGTAAAGACAGACAGAAAGAAAGAAAGAAGACGTTATGCAAAAAAAAGAAAAAAGAAAGCATTAACAAATATTTCAGAAAGAAAGAAAGAAAGAAAGAAAGAAAGAAAGAAAGAAAAGGCGTTATGCAAAAAAGAAAGAGAAAGAAAGAAAAAAGAAAGAAAAAGGCGTTATGTAAAGACAGACAGAAAGAAAGAAAGCGAATACAAAGAAAGAAAGAAAAGGCGTTATGTAAAAAAAGAAAGACAAAGAGAAAGAAAGAAAAAAGAAAGAAAAAGGCGTTATGTAAAGACAGACAGACAGAAAGAAAGAAAGAAAGAAAGAAAGAAAGAAAGAAGACGTTATGCAAAAAAAGATAAAAGAAAGAAAGAAAGAAGGCGAATGCAAAGAAAGAAAGAAAGAAACAAAAGGCGTTATTCAAAAAAGAAAGAGAAAGAAAAAAGAAAGAAAAAGGCGTTATGTAAAGAAAGAAAGAAAGAAAGAAAGAAAGAAAGAAAGAAAGAAAGAAGACGTTATGCAAAGAAAGAAAAAAGAAAGCGTTAACAAATATTTCAGAAAAAAAGAAAGGAAGAAAGAAAGAAGGCGAATGCAAAGAAAGAAAGAAAGAAAGAAAAAGAAAGAAAAAAGAAAGAAAGAAAGCGTTATATAAATATTTCTGAAAGAAAGAAAAAGAAAAGAAAGAAAGAAGGCCTTATTCCAAGAAAGAAATAAAGATAACGTAATTGAGAGAGTGTCTGGCAGGAGTGTGGGGAGAAGAGTAATCTTTTATATATATCCGTTTCCTTGTAGCTGACCGGACTTCCACCAACTGCCCTGCTTTGTCTAGAGAGTTTTAAAATACTAAGATGGCGGTGGGTGGGGGATTGTGATGACAGAGAAGGGCTGAGAAAGTGAAGAACTTTTTTTTTTTCTAATTACGGACTGAATGATTCTGGACAAAACAAGTGACGTATCGACTAAAATTGGTTGCCGAAATAAATGGTTAGCCGATCCGTGTTTACATATTATGATCTTATATATATATATTGCTTAAAATGTCCTATATTTGTGAGGAAAGTGCTCAGTGTCGGAGATAGAGCATATATATATATATATATATATATATATATATATATATATATATATATATATTATTACAAAATAGTGCTCGATTTTGTAAAAATAAAAATACCTATAAGAACACCGGATTATATATCTGTTCTTTCTTTTATTTATCATTTTTATTATATATATATATATATATATATATATATATATATATATATATATATATATATATATATATACAAAAATGATGACATCAGTACTGCATTGTTACTATTTTTCCCTAAATCAGAAAATCACTTGGGGCTGTCGATCTTATGTCTCTTCCCCTCACTTTCTCTCTCTCCCCTCTCTCTCCCTCTCTCTCTCTCTCTCTATATATATATATATATATATATATATATATATATATATAAACCTGGGAAACCTAAGTATCAAACTGAAAGGAGTGGCGTAAGACATATTTCATTAAGTTAAAGGGATTTCAAGACAGTAGACTGAAGCACCATGTTCATCTTCGTCAAACTCTGAAGCAGAGACGCGATCAAAATCCTGCTTTAACAAATTTCATCATCATGTGGCTTTATCAACCGCAGCAAGGCTGGCCTAGTATTGCATTTAAGAAAGCACAAATGAAATATGTTTTTCCTTTACTTAATTTTCTACACAATAGCCCCTGCTAGCATGCATAAGTGTAAAATGGTGACCCTCATTTATTATTCATGATAGGAGAGTCCACGATATATATAGAGAGAGACTCTGCCCTTCGACACGGGAATTCTCTCAGCCCGAAAGCAGAGAGTTTGACCAGCACACCTGGAGACGAATCTGCAACTGCAGACAACCATACAGTATTCACTACTGTATCTATATGAATGGGGACATACCCATTATCGACCGTAGGTGTGCTATGACAGAAGGCTTCTTCAAGTAATGAACAGGTTAATTGTTTTTCAATCATCTCATTTATACTTTTTTGGTGTTGGCGGGAAATTTAATGAGAGGACGGGGGTAATGCAAGAGTAGACAAAGTATGTGAGAGGGGAGGGGGGGGAAAGGAAATATGGATATATGGATATATAAACAAATATATAAATATATATATATATATATATATATTAAGAAATGGACAAAGTCCGACAATTTATTTATTAAAGACATTTTTTTATGTTTAACGTTCTTTTTATAGATACAAGTATTTAAGTAAATGCTCTGTTTATATTAAATGTTATTTAATACTGTTTATTATACACAGAGCATTTACTTAAATACTTGTATCTATAAAAAGAACATTAAACATAAAAATGTCTTTAATAAATATATATATATATATATATATATACTATCTATATTTCTCATGTTGTCTGTCTGTGTGTCTGTCGTGGGCGTTGTACCTCGCCCAGGCCGCATTTCTCACCCGATTTCGATGCGGTTTTCACCTCAAGTTTGCAAATGGCTGCCTTAGGGACATGACGCTGTCCGATTTTTCAGTTCGGACTCAGGTTCCGAAAACATCGATAATCGAAAAAATCTGCATACAGAAGGAATTATTGCATTTCAACCAAATTTGACACCCTCTTAGAGTCTACCTTTAGAAGTGTCGTCCAGAAGTTTCATGACCACGGACCCCTGAACAGCGCGGAAAATCGATAAAACCCAAAAGCCGATACGCCCAGATTGAACCTGAACCGCACGTCAGTTTTTAGCGAAAACCGATCGGATTTATGAGGAGGCCATTGGGATTCACCATGTGAAGTTTCAACTCTGAGCGACCCCCCAAAAGAGTGCAAATGGACAATCGGTCAACCCTTAAAAATGTTTTTCCGGTTGGGTATTTCCTAAATGCAGATTAATTTAAGGTCACGCTAAGCGCCGGAAGAAACAGGTCAGTGCGTGCAGTGCTGTATGAGTCGTACGATTTTTGAATGAAGCACGGGCAACGCCGGGCCATGCTTCTAGTATATAATAAAAATATAAATAATATATATGTATTCATATATGCATCTCTAAATATATGCATATATTAAGAAATAAATATAAAGAAATATATAAAGAAATATATAAATACGTAAATAAATAAAATATAAATAAATAAGCATATAAATATATAGATAACTATATGAATAAAACTATATAGAATTTTTGTCCCCTCATCCGGGTTCTTATTATTCCAGTAAATATTTTTCTTATGTTTACAAGCTGCCATTACTTAACATCTTTCATTTAACAAGTTACCTTGCTCTGGACATAACATAATCGCTGGTTTTTCTTCCTGACACAATCTGCACACATTTTCAATACTGTATGGCTTGACTATTTCAAAATACTTGGGTTTTTTCCATTTTTTTTTTTAAAGACGCTCCAGTGGTTGGTCTCCCTCTTAAAGACGCTTCGGTGGATGGTCTGCTCATCAAAGACGCCCCAGTGGTTGGTTTCCCTCTCAAAGACGCTCCACTGAAGATTGCAGTAAAACTTGAACCAGACTGTCGCCATTGGATGTTGATATCAGTGTCCGCTTTATACTTAAATCCGCTCTATCCCTGATATAGAGCACCTTAACTCATAAATATAGCACACACATACACACACACACACACACACACACACACATATATATATATATATATATATATATATATATATATATATATATATATATATATAAAGTTCTTGCTGAAGTAAAAGGATTTGGAATTAGTCTTTCTGTTACTGTCGGTAAGGAGGTTCACTAAGAAGAAATTATGGATTAGCTGTTAGCTTTATAATTGTCCCTTAAAGAGTCGATTAAAAAAAAAAGACTGATGCAAAAAAAAAAAAAAAAAACGTCCCTGCTGGTGTCAAAGAGTGCATTCAGTACAGAAATTCAAATCGGATTCAAGTCGAGGCAGGTATCGCGGTAAAGGATTACAGAATTGCACCCGTGGCAAGGAGCCTGGCGTGAGTGAGAATGAGAGAGAGAGAGAGAGAATGAGAGGGGAATAGAAGGGACAGTGAGAGAAATATGGAGAATGTAACGCGGGGAGGGAACAGAGAGTAAGCGATGGAAAGGAAAGATAAGAGGAAAAGGAAAAAAAAAAAAAAGAAAGAGTGAGAGAATAATGGGCTGGGATTGGCGTGACGGAAGTATGCAAAATACAGAGTGAGAGGGGAAATGAGTGAGAGGAGAAAAGAAGGGGAAGGGAGGAGATGAATGAAGGGAGAAAAAGGAACATGTAGAAATGAGTCAAAGAAAGAAAGAAAGAAAGAAAGAAAGAAAGAAAGAAAGAAAGAAAGAAAGCGAGTTGGAGACAAGAATGAACTGGGAGTGACGACGATAGAAGAATAGGGAATAGAGATCGAGAGATGAAGAGAGAGAAAAGTAAAGAGACAAGATTGGAGAAAAGAACAGTACGTGAATGTAATATAGAAAGTAAAGGAGAGAGAGGGGGTGGGATGAGATATGGAAAGAGGTGTAATAGATACAGTGAGGATGAAGATAAAGGAATGATGGGAAACTGGAGAAAGACAGACAGACGAGAAAGAACAGTAGAAAGAGATTATAACAAACGTGAGCAAAAAAAAAAAAAAAGGGGGAAAATCGACACCGGGGCAGAAATTGCGATAGAAAGTGTAGAGAAAGAAGAAATAAAAGAGGGATAATTAAAATAGACTGATGGATATTCAGGGGAAGGGTTGTATATTAACCTATAAAAGTTAAGGTCTTAGGATATAAAAATGTCGAAATGTGTTATCCACTAATCGATCCAGATCTAAAAAAAAAATAAATAAATAAAGCGAAAAGAAAAAAAAAAACTTAAGTAGAAACTTGGGTTTCATTGAATTAATCATGAAAGCCCTTATTGTACGCCCCAGTCAATATATTCTTTATTATTCACTGTACTGATTGTTTATTTTTTCTCCTTTTTTATTATTATGATGCAGCAATATCGCTACGTACGTCTTCCATTTTTTTTTTTTTTTACTGTATTGTTGTTCATTCATACATTCATTCATATGGTTCTTGGCTTCTTTCTAAAATAGTTACTACATTTTTTTTTCAATGGTTTTCCAAGTCATTTTTTATTTATTTATTCGTCCGCCATTGTTAATTATTTATTGATGTGCTTCCTCTATTTGTACAGACCCCAACTGAAGGCTTCCTAAATCGACAGCCCGAAATCGAAACTTCAGGTTTACAATTTCGATCTGTCGACCGACGGTTCTGTATTGTTTTAACAAGCTTCTGCTCGCCGGTTAAGTCAAAAACGAAAGACAAACAGACAGACACGCGAGCGAGCGATTGCGCGACACACACACACACACACACACACACACACACACAAACATATATCACCGCGCGAAAGTCTTTGAACACTCTAAACTGTGTCTAATAATTGCCGGCTTATAAATGAATGTTTCGCAGCGCGTGTTCTTTATTGGTCTAAGTGGAATCATTACTATACCTATTTTATTTAACCGTTCTTTACAAGGAAGGCGATAAAGCAACTAAGATACAATGGGTTAGTGAAAAACCTAGAAAACACCCCCCTGAAAAGAAAGGACAATAAAAAGAACAGATATTTATGGGAAGATGACGATTGATTTTGCATTTACATTTTTGAAGATTGTAGTTGACAGCAAGAAGCAAGAAGCTGGAAGAGAGTTCCACAAGCGAGAAGTGCGAGAAGAAATTATTAGAATAGAACTTACGGTACCATCGAGCAAGAAAGTGTTGGGACTTAATGGTCAATCAAGTCTTCTTCCGTGTAGTTCCCCTTCAGGACTTAGGCGATCATGGCCCTCCACCCCCTCCTGTCTCTTGTAGCTCTTAATAAGTTTTTTTTTTTTTGCTATTTCTCCCAGACCCTGTTCCGCCACCCACTTGCTCAAGCCCGTTAAGTATGTAACGCATTGCTTTCCCTTGACTCTCTTTCTTTCTATCCGTCCTGTGAGTATCAGATTTTCAAAACCCTCTTTTCTTATTACATGTCTCAGAAATATCAACTGTCACTATTACACCTTAGGATCTCATATATATATATATATATGGCAACATATGGCGTTTCCCGTGCTTGATTAGGATCACTTGACTTAAAATATTTTTGCTCTTTTTGCCTTTAGTGCCCTTTGCCGTGCTGATGTTGCTACATATATCTATGCGAATCTAATACTAAATATATATCTGTTACGAAAAAAGAACTAAACAAAATGAACACAAAACGATCAGCTTTAAAAAAGGACTCGTCTGGAAGAAACCGAATAAAAAAAGAATGTTAACAACAAATACTTTTTCACGCTCAACCCAGTTCAGCGGAATGTTATCAACGTTGAGTTTAAGCAAGTGAATGAGCCAATTGGAGTAAAAAATTTAAATTTTTCCCACTTGTGACGAATGCAGCTATCGATTTTTTTTGCATGCTAGTTAACATTCAGTCAGTCAACTGTTGGCTCTCACGTTGGGCAATAGAATCTTCCTGCCTATTCGTGGCAGCCAGCTATTGGTTCTCACTCTGGATTGTACAAAACTTAAAATTATTTTCGATTGGAGTTTACCTTAACTTGGAGCATGCGCATGTAAATTTTTTAAATCCGTCGAAAATTGCCCATTCGTTAAACACACACATACACCCTGCCTTTTATATATATATATATATATATATATATATATATATATATATATATATATATATACATATGCCACAGTGCTGTTCGATAAAAGTGACTCACCTGATTTTTTTACTAAAATATTTTTGTCTATTGTTTTTCGGGTTAAAATAATTTTTTTACTAATATAAAGACCCCTTCCCGACCACCTAGTAAAAAAGTTTACTCAGCCTAAAATTCTATTGATAATTTTAAATTTAGATATCAATGAGATTCAGAAAAAACTCTGTGCAAAAAAAAAGTGATTCACTTATTTCCTGCAACTAGTAATCAATAGAAACGAACATCTTTAAATAAAGAATAATAGAGGATAATTTATTTATAATAGGTAATATAGTTTGAAATATTTAATAATCTATGGGCCCTCCTTTATTTTGAATAACCTTTTCAACCCTTTTTGGCATTGACTTGGTTAGGTTCTGTCAAATCTCATCTCAAGCAAATTCCATTCGATATGAAATTCACAATCAAATCCTCTTTGTTGCTCAACTGCTTTCTCGAGAGCCTGTACTTTATAATGCTCCATAAGTTTTATATAGGGTTGAGGTCAGGAGATTGGGGCAGCCATGTTAACAATGACCTGCTTCTCATCAACTTCATCAATTTTGATTTTGACAGGGAGCATTATCCTGCATGGAACCCTTTCAGCAGAAGGAGCAGACAAGACTCTAAATTCTCTTTGTACCGCTCGCCCCTGAGGTTCTTTTCAATAGGTTTTAAGAAACCAGTTCCATGAAAAGAAAAGCATCCCAAAAACATAATACTGAACGGATGTTTGACAGTACTCACTGCTAAATTCATAGAGCTTTCAAAGTTTCTTCGATTTTAGATCGCTTATCCTTTGAATTTAGCTCAACTTTCGTTTCATCAAACAATAGGCGAAAAAAAATTTAAGTAAAAAAAAATTAAGGTGAGTAAATTTTATCGAACAGCACTATATATATATATATATATATATATATATATATTATAATAAAAAGAAAGAGAAGGTAAGATGTATAATCCGGTGTTCTTATTGATATTTTTATTTTTACAAAACAGTGCTCAATGTAAATTTACAGAACATAAATATTATAAATTAAGTGATTCAAAATATGTTTTTTTTCGCTACACAGGAATTACCATGTTTCAAAAACAGAAGCTAAAAACTTCAAACTTAATTATATAATAAAAATAAAAGCATTAGTTCTGTTTCATCTTCAAGCGAATTTTGGAATAACTTATAAAAAAATGCCGAAAAACTTTTTCTCGTTGAACGGATGTCAAAATTCGTTGAAAAATGCACCCCTAGCCTACCTAGGTTTAACCTCTTTTTCGAACGTAACTCATAATTGATGCAATAATAGTTAATAAAAATGAACACGCTACCGCCTCTGTCTAAATGATTGGATTTCTCTGTATCCTTGGAAACAAAAAATTATGAATTGTATGTGCGTTTAGAACGCAGTAAATTTTAAAAATAAGTTATTCCAGTGATTCAAACGATAAATGGTGACAAGATGGCTAAATGTCTTATCTGAGAACCTGGAAAAGATTTGTTCTTTAGATATTAAACATTTTAATTTGGGATGGATAATTATGCTGTTACACGATTTTACAACAACTTTTTCTTATGTCCTTTTCACACTAGTAACCCCTTGAATCTTAGTTGCTTGGGGTAAAGGAATATATATATATATATATATATATATATATATATATATATATATTATGTTACTATAAGTGAAAAATTTAAAAGAACAGGAATTTAGAATACTGAAGATAACGATTCACATTGCATTTTTAATTTTTGAACATGAATGATGTTTGGAACGCAAAAAAAGGGAGGTTCCGCAAGTGAAGTGCGATAAAAGAAACTGTAAGCATTAAATTTTTTACATTTAGCCTGGAAAATGATGAGACCTTGCTGCCAATCTATTACTGATCGTAATTTCCTAAAGTCTAGGTACCATAGAGGAAAGTTCATCAGAACAATTACCATAAAAATGTTTATACAAAAGACACAGGGAATCTAAGTTATAGCGGTTGGAAAGTGACTGAAGTCAAGATGCCAGATCAGGACCAATAACACTGCAGATTCTTCTTTATCGAGAATCTAAATATATACCAAGAACACCAGACCATATATGACAGCAATATGCAAAGCATGGACGAATGGTAGTCTTATAAATATATAAGATAGATTCTAGCAAAAAAAAAAATGCTGTCCAACATGACACAATGAACCGACTTCTTAGCAGAATATCTAATAATTGTTTCTGTATAATCTTTCCATTTCAGATCAGCGGAGAACTTTAGCTCGAGAAGGCGGACGGTTTCACTATCCTGGTGGTTAGCATCAGCCATACTAATGGAAAACAGAAATTGTTCTCCCAGACAATTAGTAGAAAGTAGTTTCATTTTGTAGAGTTTAAAATTAACAAAAAAAAAAAAAGAATTCCTTGTTCCAGTTAACAACAGGCCAGCTTTTTGATCAAACCTACTATTCTGACAGGAGTAAATAATTGAGTCAACAGCATAGATAGCGAGTGGAAAACTGATCTCCTCTGGACGGTAGTTCATGAAAATTAAGGTCAAGTATAACGGTCTGCTATTATTTTTAATAACAAAACAGCCTTAAAAAATTAAAAAATAATAGCAATTCTTACCTATCATAGTTTTACACGGACCCCATCATACGCATATACGAACGTGCGAGGAAAAATTATTCAGCGAAAAATAGAAAAACGTGTGGTGACATCCCTACATTCAAGAGAACTATTGGCTACACATACCATCATTGAAATTCAGCAATCAAATGCTTGCGTATGTACACAACAGCACACATATACATATATATGTCAAGCTGTTC